AATATCACCATTGTGCAGTCATTTTTCTGTTAAGGTTTTCACTGTAACATAAGAACCTGTCCATTGACTTAGTTAACCTTAGGATATTCATTAAACAATCATCTTTAAAATAAAATTTGATTGATGAACAAAATACTTTTCAATAGAGAATTCTGTTATTTAAGGATAAAAAATTAGTGAAAATCAAATGTCCATACGTCAGTTGTTGTCATGGAGAAAATCAAGACGTTTTCTTGAAAAATCTCATATTCAAATGTAATTAAATGAAATTTAGGTCAAATATTTTGTTTTTATCAAAATCGAAAAGAAAAGAAAAAAAATTTTTATGGCATAAACAATTGAATGATGAATTATTCATGAAAATCAAATAAAGACAATTTATCATGATTTATTAAATAGAATTTCCCCATTAAATTCTAATCTGAATTTTTAAATAGTCAGTCAGCAAAATAAATTACAGCTCCTATTTATGATGACGATGATGATAATACACTTGATAAAAGTAACTGAATCAATGGAATTTCTTCCATTGACTTATTGTGTTTTCCTTTCTTCTTTTTTTCTCTGTAAACCGTAATATTTTTTTAAATATGTTTTCATGAGACGAATAGGTGACAAAGGAAAACATACAATAATAATGTTATGCTATAAATAAGATGAAGTTTCATCAGAATTAGACATAATAGACAACAAAGTTTACGGAAAAATTAATTCAGTCATAAATAATGGTTGTTTTCTTTGGAATTCTATTAGAGTATTTGCAAATACGTACAAATTGTAACCATAGCCTTTCGGATTCCACTGCTAGTTACTATCCATCTTTGCATATAATGCTTGTGAATGAAGGCTATATAGAGGCAATACACACAGTATGCACATATGCCAATGAGAGATTGATCAATTGCAGTCCTAATCATCAATAGGAAGATTCAAGTAAACGATACCAAGTGAATTTTCACAGATACTTGTGTTTCAAAAAAAATGTCTAACACCTAAATTCCTGCATTAATTCAAGTGTGTATTCATGTCAATATCAACTTCAACCATGATATCGATCATTTAGTTTATCATTTTTAATAAACATTTCAATTTCATGACAGCGTTATGACTGAACTGTATAGAGATGATTCATTTTTATCATTGTAAACTATATTTATACTTCAGTTTAAACTATCTACTTTATTCTCAACTATCCAGATGAGAGTTGATAAGCAGCGGCGTCACTAAATCACACTAAAAAAACCAATAAGGTTAAAATATGTTAAATTAGCTCTATTCACTATCGTACCTCCAGAGTTGACAAAACTTTCACCGAAACTAATATTTAAAGTAAACTCAATTAGGTATATCTACTTCAACTTTCAGTTTCATGCTAGGTTTGTTGTATGTGTTTCCGTAAGATATTATACTTTATTAACTAAAATAGAATAATACTTTTATATCTGAAAAATTACATTTAGATTTCTACATTGAATGATAGTGATTATAGCAATTGTAGAGGAACCGTTTGTTTAATACCTTATTTAATACATTGATTGAATGGGATTTGAATATAAACTAAGGTAACTATTCATAAGTATCAACAGATTTTTCAATGGGCATCAGTCTTTTGAAAAGCAGATCAAACTACCTATTGGTGATTAACGATCTTGTGAAACCTTATGATGGCAAGAGAAACAAAACCAAAGTATTGTTACACAATCAAGCCCAGTACGTAACATTCACTTTTTGAGATATCTGGGATATGAAATAATTCAAGCAACAAATATGTGAAAAGACTAAACTAATGCAAACATGTTATTACAACGTAGTGTGTGTGACTAGATGAATACTTACCTATCCTGAACGAGTATTTGTTTTAGATTTCCATAAAATTCATTTAGAGACATGAGTGCATACTGACTCTTGACGAATTCTTTTTTCTGGATATGATGATGTAAACAAGCAACAAGAATTAAAGAATAAATCAGACTGTTGACATTAATCCTATAGTATCTTCTATGTATGTTTATAATTAGGCTAGGGTTGATTTTTATCCGGAATGTCGATAAAATAATTAGTACGTTGAAAGAACTACTAATTAATTACCTTGTTTATTATTAATAACAGTTAATAATACACATAAGTTCTTTAGGTGTGATAGCAACGAAATCCTCTTTAGACGATGAACGTCTGATTATTTGTAAGATTTAATGGAACCACTTCATCGTAATTGTAGTTGAGTCTCGAAAATACTGGTCTCTGGAATATCAAGATTAAGAGCCTTTGCCACATTCATGATTTTTGGGAAATATGCTTACAATATTTCGGTCAAATTAACCTTTCAACTGGGTTCATATCATAAAACGCACGAAATAGAAAATTACTTTGAAAATATATATGGATAAACGTATATTGGACCTTTGACATGTAAGATCTAAAACCTGATAGTTATTTTACAAACTTGACCTTATAAACTATTAACTCCAATAACCATACCAAACGGAACACTAATTTCAAAATATAAAAAGCCAAAAAGAATATCCGCCCTGAAGAACGTATAATGCAAAAATCAACTTTTATAGCAACGAAAGTGAGGAATCCGCTGTTTGCTGTCATGGTTTGTGGAATCTTTAATGTATATTATCAGATTTCTTACAAGAATTGGTAAAAGTCACTAAAACATTAGATAATGTTTAAAAAAAGACAATATATACGTATATGATCCTTGACACCATACTTTTTTCTCTTTATTGTTGTAATCCGATTGGTTTAATTTGTTGTGATTTTAATGTTGGCGATCGTATCGTAGTATAATTCAAATGATAGGAAATAATGTGATCTCCACAAAATAGCTTAAACATTCTGATGAAATTAACTTAAGTACATAATAATCATTGAAAGCATCTTCCGTAAATAAAAAATAACGCGTTAAAGTTTTATTTGACCAAGTGTTGAGCAGACTTTGAATAAAGGAAGATCTTTCAAAAGCATCATTCTATGATTTCCATAAATACGTTTATTAAAAAAAAGAATCGTTATTCATCTTGTACTGCTCTTAATAATTTTGTTGCTAACGTTGAAGTTAGTACTTTAAGAATACTTCATCATTTGACAGTAATTTATTAATATAATTTCTACGTAGATAACAGGTTAATTACAAACACAGCACTAAAGCACCGATAGGTAATATCACTATATTTTGTAAGGGCTGACAATCACAAAGTAATTTATATACCATTTTTCCTAATAAATATTGTTTCAATCATTTGTTTCTTTTGAAATTACACCATCCAGATACCTTGCTTAAACAGCTTTTAACTGATAATATTAATATCTTATTTAACCATTGAATGTATTACTATTTTATTTGATATTTTGCTCAAGTCTGAGATTTGTTTTTTTTATAATGATTATCTCAGTGCTCTGTATATATACATGATATACATGTTTATGTTTAGACACGGTTACATATAAAACATTTTTGCGACTTTTATGATTCTACGTTTTATTACCTTTTTAATATTCAGAAAAAATAATATAACAAGGATCATGCGTTAATTATCTTCAAATACAGATATTTTTGATCGGTTCAGAAATTATCAGTTATCTATTACATAATATATATGCACTAAATATGATAATAAAAATTGTGTAATAATTCTAACGTAACTTTATCCTTCTTCAACTAAAAATATGTGTTGAATACATGTTGGATTTTACAGCTATTACGACAGCGACTAAATGAGAGCATTTTTAAAAGGCACAAATTGATCAGTGTTAAAATTACAAAAGCGTAGTTTAAACTATATTTTCACCCTGCGTTGATCATTGAATCGTCCGAGTTTATCTAAATGATTCAATTATTCGGATGTAAACATATTGACAAATCAGTAAATTACTTTACCCCATGCTTTGTCATTTCCTTTTGATATTTATCAGCCAATTGAAAACGTTTGCATCAAATGAAATGGATTTTAGTATTTATCTTTTGGAAATCCATTGTAAATTTGATTTCAATATTCTTTTGAGATTTATTGAGTCCGTTTTATACGAAAGTGAGAAACAAACCAGTAATTACACACACTGTTTGATATAAATCTAAATGACCAAGTTTAATAAACCTTACACATTCTCAAATACTCCACCGAATTATCATGTGCTAAAGCGAACACTTTCATGAAGTAAATCTATTTTATGGTATTAAGCACAGGACCATTACGCTTTAATTACAATTGATATTTCAATCTCAACGATCATTGTTAAATATAACAAAGGTATTTCGTTGGTGTAGTTATGTTACTAACTGTCTAACTGCTCAGCATAAACATATTACCAAATATCTGTAATTTGATTTTGTGCAGTAGTTACTTAATCTTATGTTTCAATATTTTTCTCCTCTACGGCTTAATACCCGTAAAGTGTACATACAGATGTTCGATAGTTATTCTAGCGTAAAATAAAAAGCTTCATCTTTCTAATGGTTACGTCATAATTTCGTCTACATATTTTTACCCACACATCTAAATCGATATACTATTTTTGCAGAGTTTAAAAATACTCAAGCAATATTTTGCTCCCTGCACATTGCCGTCTTTTCAAAAAATTTGGCAACTCATCTAACCCATCCACTCACGATTCTTGGCTTATAAGTGAATAGTCTATAGATGGATTTTCTGAAACTAGGACATGCAAAAACAATTGTTTTGGATGTGAGAATAATTATGATGAGAACTAGGATATAAATAAATGAATTCTATCACCAGAGTTTGATGGTAGAGTGGTACTGGGTTATAAAACATATATATAAGTAGCTCTATGGTGGGGCAACAAAAATGCGTAATACCAAATGGCATTCGACAGTTCTTCTCTGAACAGTTATTTTTGATGAATATCACCTTCAAAATATATAAAATATATTTATAGATCATATACCCAAATACTGTGATCATTTTTATTTTAATTTCAGTGATATAAGAAGTCGTTGTAACACAAATTAAAATTAGTCAATAATAACTTACCAAAAATTAATAATAATAAATCACTGACAGATAATGTAAATAAATAACAATTTGTCCTGGTATGCATAAACGAATTACGAGCAATTACGATACATGTAGCTAAATTACCAAGTAGACCAGTACAAAAAATAGAAGTATATACAATACCGATTGAAATTTGACGTGTTAACGACATTCGCTGTGGTCCTAATTCATGTTCTATCCACATAAATTTCAATTCATCTATTAGTTCATTACAGTTTGTAGTATTTACATTCATTTTTCAATGAACGATTTCAACAGTAATGGGATGTTTTTTTTTAAAAAGATAAGTAAATAAAATAGTGACTTTACTGAAAAGAAGATTTCTACAGATGAACTCATTTCAATCTGAATAAAAACTATCGCCCAAAATAAATTAGATCTGAAAAATTTCTACCCTATGCGTTTAATCCTTTAAAACTATTCGTTATTAAAATAGAACCAATTACTGTAAAGTTATTAAATAATAAGAAATATGTCAGAAGTGTTGTGAAAGCGAAACACCCTTTTAGCTCTGTGGATTTATTTAGATTGAACAGAAAGTAGACGTTTTTTGTTGACAAGGTTATATTTCGAAAAATCTCAAATACTATTTCCTTACTGGTTATCAGTTGGTTTTAAATATCCTAAATGTTAGCTACTCACAAATTTGATGTGTTTTAACTGTTTCATAACTAAAGAGTGATTTCTAGTCATTTAAATCTATTAAAACTCTTGAATTTTTTGTTCGTTGAATAGATAAGGCTGCTGAAGTAAAACTTTACTTAACGATGTGTTTTAATGAATCAAGTTTTTGACTGGATATAACAGAAACTTGTCTCTTGTCATATAACTAAAGCAAACTTGAAGGAAGAAGAAACCGATTCAGATATAGCAATTTAATGAAGGAACTATTTTCGACACTACAAAACGACTTTTCGATTCATCAATTTTAGTGAATATATGTCAAGACTTTAAAAAAGTGTTTTATCGAAATTTAGCCCCAAGTATATAAAATAAATTAGACAGTAAAAGATATTTGTGAAGTCCTCAGTTAATAAAATTTCACCAGTTCCAACGTTTGGTCAAACTAACTGGTTTGAATTTCTTCAGAGAAGTAATAATCAGGTTATCAAATGGTGCTTTTTAGTTTTGATCTTAGTTGTCTATGATCAAATATATTATAAGAATATCTTCTAACAATATATATCACCCACATAAAACATGTCATGAGTAGGGTTTTTTCAATAACAATGTATGGTTGATTGCTTGTAATAAGAATACCCAAATCCGTTTCGGCAAAGCTTTTATTTTTAACGAACGGTTAATTTGTTAGCATTCTAAGACAGAAAACGGTCATCATTTGTTCCTTTATCCACAAGTTCAGAAAAATATGCTCTAAGGACAATGTCAAGACTGGCAAATCTAAATCTAAAAACTTAAACGGTTGGGAAAGGTATCCATTTTGTTCTGTCATAGAATCTATAAATTAAACTGGGCTCTGAACTTGTTATTCCACAATGAAAATCTTCGAGATCAGTGAGTAAACTTTCTTTATCCTTGGAATGTGGTGAATAAAGAAAAACGTATTTATGTAATGATGACAAGCTAGCATACCGTCTTATAACTAACCTCTTACCAGTCCATTTCCTTCTGGAGAACAGATTAAGTGTTTACTCTTTCATAATTGGTAAGTGTATGCTGTTATACTCATGTAATTTAAAGTGAACGGAGAAAAAATATACAGCCTTAATAAATATCAACTCATCACTTCGGTATTTTGACTTGAGAGATCCTGAACAGAAATAAGAATATAAAATCTACATTTAGTCAAATCACTAGCAACCAAGTAATTGAAACCAATATTTATTATTTCTACCCTACCACAGATTTGAAGAAATAATTTCGACCATTTTATTCTATCTACAAATTTACACTATCTCACATAACTTATTGCCTAAATGCATGACTGTGTTGCCTTATTTGAGCATTACAGCATAAATATGGAGCAATAACTTCTGAAATTTTGATCAAGTTTTGTACATTTCCGGATTAAGTTTATGAAATGAGTTTCTTATAAAACACGAACTCATCTTCCTAAATATTGAGTTTTGGTCTACATTTTTTGATAATGTACCACTTATTTTAATCGAATTTCTGACTGATGTAGTGAAACTCAGTTCATTCACTTTTACTGCCCAGGATGGAAAATATGATACATATAGGTAAACTTTATTGTTTAATTAAACGCTTCTAAAAGAAAACTAAGAGTTGGTTGGTATATCAGAATAGTTTTTAAAAGCACTATATATTCGAAAAACAATTCACAACTTTTAATAACTTTGATGTGATTGGCTTTATATTCTCATTCAGACTATCTTATTTTATTCCCTAATCCTTTCACTTCTATGCGCCTATAACTATTAGGGTTACATGAGGCCACCAGGATATATTCATTATAGCATAAATATCATCACGTAACTAGTTGTGTCTTGATTTTGATAAGAAGAAAATTAATTATCACTATTATCATACTTCATTACAAAGTTTATAAGGCTTCTTTGAAAAATAACTATTTTACGTAGACAAGTCACTCGTAAATACGGGTCAAAATATTTTAGAAAGCTTTTAATTTATAAATTTAAACTAATATATCTAAAAAAGGATAACTAGCGAATGGATTTTTATCCCTCATCATTTAGAATAATTTTGTCTAATCTAACTGCCAAATGTTATTACGTTCAGTTCATTTTTGTATTGGTTGTTTGAACCTTTCCATTGATGCTTAAAACTGCAATTGATCAGTCTCTAAATGGCATATATGCATCCTATGTGGATTGCCTCGATATTACCTTAAGTCACAAATGAAGTAAACTGACACTTACCTGTAAAGATTTTATTCTCCAGTCAATCAACGTGGGAATTATAATGAACGTATGGTAAACATGAGAGTTGTGAGACAATGGTTCAAGCTTGAGGATGGTTTTATTGTACCATTTAACTACATTCGGCTCATTTCCATAGAACTTGTCTGGCAGATACATAAGATTATCTACTGCCTATTGTCTGCGGACGTTTAGAAAAAATTAGGTAAAGTAGGCAACAATTCCGAGGTTGGACAATAAAAATATATAATGTGTTGTGCAATTCTTAATTTGTAGTTATTGCCAAGTATCCTCTTTTTAGGTGGGCCAAAATGTCTCACACATAATCTCAAGCTCAGCCGCGTGCATGCACAAGAATACAACCATATAAATATGGAATTATCTATAAACCCATTACAAGTAATAACTGTATTAGGCTGTCTCTTTGGCGATAAATGTTATCTCGTGAACATTATGTTGTATGGGTTTGTTATAAAAAGTGAGATTTAAGTGCTGGGAATCGTATACTGTGTGCACTTATGATTGGAACGGCTATTCATCCAGTTTAAAGCTCAAATTTCTTCAAGTAAGAACCACTGTAATTAAAACCACAACATTTTAGAGCTATCAATAGTTGTTTTCGTTTAGTTAAAGAATTGAGAAGTGGATCTACTATCTACTAATTAACAGACAGTTCAACTTGATCTCCTGATATAAAAAAATGAGATTCATGTTTTATATACATAGGCTTTGTAATGTGCACTTCTTCCATAAATTTTAGATGGATAAAATGACATCTTCCGAATTTATGATACACGTATCATGCAAAACGGAGAACATTTGGTTCCAATTGCATATTTACTCCAAGTTCCTATATGGGTAGACAATTTCTTTTTCAAATATAGTGAATTGTAAATGCTTTCTGTTTTGGCATTACTTAAACGATTGAGGCAGTGATGAAACCGTATTCTAAGTAGCAAATTACTTACAGTGTGTAAATGTCGTAAATTTACTTCCGTAACATTAAACTCTACCACAACTCTTTCTAATTTCTTTAAGTTCTTAGATAAACTGACGTGTTCTGTGAAATGACTGAGCAAGAACATACGAAAGATGTTAACTACCATCACCAGGATAAATAAATATTTTCAAGAATGGTTACGTAATTTTTATTTTATTACTATAGATGAACCTCGGTGTCATAAGAATCTCGTAACTTGTGTGTTATTTAGTAAATACGTATCTATACATATACGGAAAACTACTTTCTTGGACTTGGGCATTATATCATGTCACGTTTTAATTAAATATAGCCTGACTAGATTGTTTCGCGTATTGGTTGTACGAATTAAAAATGTTGGTAAACATAATGGAAAACATGAAGCCTATGGAAACTTATAAACTAATACATAGCAGTGTCACCGGTGTTATTTTGAATTTATGCTTGTTCTAATGGTTATATACGCAATTTCAATTTGAGTTCTAAATCCAGGATATGACTCCTGTGAAGTAGCACATATTTCATCATTATTTAATTTTCTGTTGTGTTGAAGGCATAACTCAATGTAATTATGTTACTTACCAAATGGTAGGTTTTATATTAAACTAAATTTACATGTAAAAGCTTTCAACTCCTCATTTTAGAACTCTCTTTACATGAATAGCTTGATTTATTAATAAACTGAACTTTGATGGACACTTATGTTAACCGGAAACTAGTTTTATCACGAGAAACACGAAGTTGGGCATAAATACATGTTGAGATAATTTATTGATAAGTAATAATGTAAACAGAAAAGCTTAGTGACACTGCGATTATCGCAAATGATTCAAGTAATTTACATAAAAACAAGTTAACTACTATCACAAACCGGAAAATTTTACACAAGCTCAAATGCTTCAAACAAAATCGCTCATAAAGTGAAACAAAGCTTAGTGATTATCAGTTGATTAGAAAAATAAATTAATGTTGGAAAATACGACGTAAATAATAATGACGACCGAAAACACTACAAAGAATAATGGATTATACGGCGAAAGTGTTACAATAAGCCGAGGAGAATTGTAAGAAGCCATTCTTTAATACATACAAATTATATTGTAAGACTGTCAGAAAGACTTATGGACGTCACGATGAAGATGACAATCAAATGTCTCTGGTTTGTGTCCCGTTTACATACTGCTGTTTGTGTACTTCCTTCTTACAACTTGCCGGAAGTTTTATGCATTTATTCGCATGAAATCCTACAATGAAAAAGAACTACTGATGTATTGTATTTTTAAAATGTAATTTATGAAACGTTCACAAAATATGCATAACTAAAACATTAAGCAATACCTACAACTTACACCTGCGACGGCTAACTGTGTTGCCACATTACATTGTCACAGTCTT